GGTCTGGTTCCCAGGTTTCACCCACGGGCGGTCATGATGTCGCCGCACTTGGTTCGCTGAGAGTTACCAGGAAATCCTTACATCTAGTCAACTTCGACTTTCAGGCCGTGCTGCCGACCAGGCAGGAGAACCCAGTTCGATACGAAAAGCTCGTATTCGGCGAAGTCATCCTCACTCACAATTCACACCGATTCACAACCACTATTCTATCTTCTTGTTGCCACTTCGTAAAAAAATCTGTGATAATGTAAGTTATCCGCCTAATGCTTACCTGCTCCCCCCTCCCTACTTCTTCCATCACCGCTCTTGAAATCGCACACCGTTCTTGTGGATTCCTCCGTTGGTATTTCGCCGTCATGTTTTCACCATCATGTGACCGATCGAATCATAGCGATTTATCTCCGAAGATCCAGTCTTGTACATCTTTCAGTTTCCTACGTATATACTTTTCATAAACCGCAGCATACAAATGATCCTTCGAAATTCCTTTGATAAAGTCCTCCTTTTGGGAGAGCTCAGCGGAAGTCATTTGAATACGCTAGAATTCTCAGTGGTTGTGTCCACCTCCGGTATTATTTATGTAAATGCTGCACCTGGCCATTTGATTTTAACGGCCATAAACCGAATCGAATATTTATCCTCGATCTTCAAGCTTGCAGGGCATCATCCCCGCTTTGATCCACGTAAACAGTCGCCCTCAACTCTCTGTGCACATAACCTCTACTATCTTGAAAACTTCCGTTCTGACGTCGCCTGGATCATCTGATCGTGCATTGTGGCGTGCTTTGGGCTCATCCAAAATATAGCATTGTTATCATTATCATTCCCAAGGTTTTTCAGTACGACGGAAACTCGAACACGGGCCCCAATTATCGTATCGCCTGGCTGAAGTATATAATGATGATTTTCTCGCTGATTTCTTTCTTACCCGTTTGCAACCTAACCCACTTCTGGTTACGGAGACCGTCATCGGGTTATCCGCTTCTACCCACAAGTCGTCCCGGAACTGCCCCACATGCTTCGGTGAAGGCTACTTGGAACTACTTACAGCAAAACCGTCTCGATACTGAACACCACAACTATCTGCCGAATGCCCCCACCAACAAAACCCGATTGTTTGATCAGCTCTTACCTACTACGGGCCTCAGTTGTGGTTTTGCACCAGCAATCCAGTTTTTTATCGGTGACACAATACCCATCACACGTCATTGTCCTTATGGTCGGAGGCTGACAGAACCACCCACACCTAACAGACCCCGTCTATCTCCCCTTAAAGAGTCAGCCATTGTACGCTCCGACCAGTTAGGCAATGAGTGATAGCCACGTAGTGGCTTCCAACCTCCGTTATCTTGTTTACCACACCACTGTTTATCTGAGCTCTCGCCACTGGGCGCAGTAGCCACTTAAACTTTGCTCGTGCGAGCTAAAAGCACGCTTTTCCAATGCACGCCAACCACTCAATCCCCACCAATAGTGTGCTCCTTCTCACGGGATGTGGGAATTGTCGTCCTTGACACATTGCGGAGTACCACCTTGACGGACAGGCAGTCCAAGCGTGTTGAGAAGGATTAGCGAACATTCATAATAAGGAAGCATCAGGGTAAGGTCTAACCAAATTTGCAGCCCCTTCGATCAATCCAAGAGAAGTCACAGAGAGTCCTCCCGGGGCGTATCCTGGCTTTCCAGAATAATATGCGTAAACTCCAGATATTCATCACATATCCCACCAATGATGAATTGATTTAGGTCCCCGCTGCTCTGACTAATAATTTGCCACATCCTGGGTGCTTTGTTTCCCTTTTTCCCAGACTCCACAACTGTAATTCCGCCGAACCAGACTTCTCATTGGCGTTTCTGATACTTACTGATACGTCAGCCATTTTGACCTATTTTGAGATTTTTCAAGTTATATCCTTCTATCCTATCACCACAGATAAGTCACTCATGCTGGTGTCTTGCGGGTCTTCAACCTCATGCAGACTTCTATGCCCGACTTTTCCGATTTTCTGCAGCCTTTTCATCATGTGCTCTACTGTCCAATTTTTGAATTTTTGATTTTCCCCCCATTACCTTTCGTCAAACTTGTATTTTGAGCTTAAAAGCATGTCTTACTTGAGCCTTTTAACGTTGCACCAGGCCGTTGACAAGTGACCGCCACTATTTTAGGCCCTCTCTGAGCAAGAAAAATCTCTTCACCCCTGTGACTGATGCTGTATCCGTCGGTGGCTAATCTACGCATGCTCCATGACCCATTAGGAAAATAGACCAAGATTACCATTATCGTCATAATTACCGTTCCTTCTTACTGACGTCTAATTACCTCCCCGGGGAACAGCAAGGGGTTCATTAGGCAAGACTTTCCCGGTATAAATCTGAGCTTAGCACCCTACCTGAAATTATACGGAACCAAATGTTTAGTGACTTGCTGCTCCGCCATTCATTCCAGGCACTTAGACAGTACTGAAGTTGAGCCAACCTGCCGGTAAATTTTGGCCTTTTGTCGAGGTCTCATCCTGCATACTCCCATCACTGTCGATTTCATGCAGTCTCCTGTAACATTTTTCCTACAAAGCGATTTCTCTAACAGCTGCCTCATCGGAGCCTTTTGTATCTCAGCCAGAGGTTGGATGACGGCTGGACGAATCCCATTCGGTTCTTCGGTTTTGACTCTATTTGGAAGCGGCCGCTTTTATTCGTCAACACAAAGTTCGGGCATGGATGTGCTTATGTCCCTTCCGTTCTTTTTTCTACATTATCTGCTGGTCAGTAAGTGCCCTGGAACAATGACAAGAACCCATCGGCCTTGCTTTCCTCGCTCTGTGCCACTCGTACCTGGGATTCGCTCAAATTTGCTGCACTTTCCCTGATACGCTTTTGGCGTCCGGCATGCGCAAAACGGCCTAGGTTTTGTTGTACCGGAGCAGGTGACACCTCTCAAAAAATATCCCTTTACCCTTTGGATTGCCACGGCTGAGGTCTCTGCCATCTCGTGTTTATCCTTAGCTTTATGGGTTCTGCGCAACCTGTGCGCTGCCTCTTGGTGTTTCCAAATGACCATGGCTTTACAGCCTTCAGATTTCTATCAGGGAATGGATTTTAACGGCATTTAGACCACAGAAATAAGAATACCCTTGTGGGTCCAAGTGATCTCCCGGTGATGATATTCTGGTTTTCTCCTACCAGAAGGGTTTGCATGGCCCGGTATTCTTTGAACTCCCTCCGTCGTCCTCGTTCATTCATCCACATCCGTTCTTCAGCTGCACCTCTCTGGTCGGGGCAGACCACAGGACATCGAAATTAAGCCCGGGAGTCCAATTTTTTGCTTTTCTTCTGTGGGTCTCTGGTGCATCTCTCCGGGCCTCGGCAGCTTGCCACCTGCCTTCTTATTAGCTCGGCAGAGCAGCCACCTGTAGAGGATCAGGGAAGCAGGTCTGATACCTTGTCGGGTGAAATTTCAGTATCTAGGGCTCGAGAGTGCATTCCACCTCACCCTCTCTTCCCATGTGATCTCTGGCTCATCCTTAAATGCAACCGAGTGGGATTGAAAGCCAGGGTGCCAAGTTTGGCTGAAATAATGAGGAAAAGAGAAAAAGAACAACACGGAGTTTACAGAGGTGAGAAACTTATTATCATTATTTTTGTTAAGTAGTATTAAGGTGGAATAGCCTGCCAAAGACTTTTAGTCACATTGTCGAAAAGTAACGAAGAGGCAAGTGAGGAACTAAAAGTAAAATGTTCGAGGGGAGCACATTCGGAATGAGCCAGCATGGGAAGCACGGAAGCTAAACTTGTGTCTTGTCGGGTGATAGACTGCATCACGGTGATTGCTCCCACCACATCCTCCTATAAGTTGTTCCAATCGCTTATTGCCCAACAATTATACGAGCTTTCTGCCATGTTTTGGCACTAAAGTGGCTCCATGAGCGTGTTTCCTGTCCAAGGAGAGTACCTTTTCAATTTAGGTGCAGTATCGACTGACATGGTGGTATCTTAATGGATAGTGTATGACTGCGCCACTGCGTGAAGCGAACCTGCTTGGTGACAGAGCTGCTGGCGAATAAGCGGAAACAGGAATACCGAAGTGTTGGAAACGGCAAAAGCAATTAAAGGACAACTACAATACACCAAACATAAGAGGACCTAGTGAATTCTCCGAAGTCGAGGGCGAAAATTTATACCGAAGTTCCGAAACTTGGGGGGGGATGGAAGGTAAGCTCAAGAAGTTCCCTGGCGGTCAGTAGCAATACCCCAAAGGTCGACGGTCTTTTCTCGACTGTAGCTGTGTGCATATAGATAAAAAGCCCCTGAGGCTCTGAAACTTACCGGTAGTTAAATGTTAGCCTAACTGGCAGATTCCAAGGCTTTCCCCTTTTTATCTGTTTCTATTTACGGCTTTCCACCTCCTCCGTCAACGTACATCGAGGATGAACGAGAGCTAGGGTCGGAAGTCAGCAGACTTCTCGACTTTCCGAAGCGGCACTGCTAGGTGTTCGAAAGAAGTGGGGATAAGAGTGTGCTGCAGCGTCTGTAGTTGTTGGTTTCATCACTAAGGCAATGGACGTACTGTTGAAGCTTTTGAACATCAACTGGACAACCGTGGGCTGGATTGGGTATGCGCAGAATATTTCACATCAGGCAGGGGTCAGTGAACGTGTCTTCGGCGACCTCAGGAAACTACCGACACTTAAAACGAAACAGCTACATGCACGAAATGAAGCAGGGCTTGGGAGGGTGAAGGCTAGACTTGAGGGGTTTGAGAAGACGTGAATAAATAAATTTCCCGACTTTGATACCTAGTAGATACTAGTGACGTAAAATTACCATCACTAAAGGAGGGAGTCAACAGCTATGCGAGACAGTTAAGCATTTTGACCAGAGATGCTGACACGGCCATCAGGAGACAGCAAAGGTGTGGTTTAGAGAACCCTCAGACCGGCTGGGAGAGAGGGACGTGGGCCAAAATGTGATGAACGTGCCGAGAACAGTGAGCCTGCTGAAACATGCCCCTACGAAAGGGATTTTCGGGCTGGGAGTGTGGTGCTCAAGACCGGAAACCTCGTCATAAGCCCCGGCCAGTGGTGGTTAATTTCGAGACCCAAGATAGCGATGCTTCACTTGCTGCAACAGGCAAGATAATGAAGGCTGCCACAGGGATTATACATGTGGGACCAGGTCACTCAGCAAAAGGTAAACGATTACAGTGGCAACCCAGAGCCCCATTCACGGCGTCTACATCTGCGCTGGGTCCGTTACTGCGGGTAAGCTTCACCCTGTATCAGCAGCCGGGAAAACCAATAATTCAGTGGGAACGACCGACTCAGATTGGCACCGTCCAGGTGGACTCCACTATACCCGACGTTCACAGTTCCAGTCTAGCTGCAGAGCAGCAAGAAACCCCACCAGTCGAGAACCCGGAGACTCAAGGCTTGAGGCACTCAAGAACACCAAAAGCAAACGTGGCAAAACATTTATTTGCAATCGGAAAGGTTGTCCACGCACAAGCAAGCAAAACCATCGCCACCTAAGCGACCCAAAACTGGGGCAACGGCCAAGGCCGAGTTAACGGCTGTGGTACGAAGCCGCGCGTGTATGGTGGAGAATCAACGGAGAGAATCGATGGCTGAAGCCGCGGGCACTGATTGCATCGCAATCACCGAAACTTGGCAGCAACAGCAAGTTTCCCCCTAGAAGGGTATTGTACCATCACAGGAAACAGATGAGAAGGAGTGAAGTAAGGGAGGCGCTGTAGATTGCTGCGGTTAAGCGTGAGCACATAGCAGGAGAGGTGACTTTCAAACCGAACACAAAAGTTGCTTCATGCTGTTAGTTCGTGGGACTTGAATGCGACCCTGACTTGCGTCCACAGGCCTCCGTTCTCATCTGCTAAAGAAGACGCTCTGTTACTAGAGATTTTGGCTAGGATAGTCACCCGTTCTGATAGGTTGATAGCTGTTGGTGGCCAAAACTCTCCGGAAGTTAGTTCGGAGGGATTTTGAGCACCGCCAGGTGGATTCTGCAATCTGCTGATGAAGCTGGGGTGCAGAAACACGCTGGTGCAAAATCCGAGCCAACCAGCCCGATGAAGAATAGGCCAGATACTCAGCCTTCTGGACCCCGTACTCACTAAATTGCCAGCAGAACCCTCTCAGGGGTCCCCTGCAAACCTTGGGTAACTTCCGGAAAAATGCAGGCCAAGCACTGAGGACGGCTTCTGAGATTACACAATGGGCAGATTACACACTCACATTGGAGGAAGAGTGGTTGCACGCAAAAGGCAACGAGTTGTGGCTCATCGATGAGTTTGCTCCAATGAGTAGAGTAAGAAGGAGAGGCCGACCACCTAATGGGTCCGCAGGGACGAAAAGGACAGTCACTCAAGCCAGTGGGTAGCGGTTTGCTGCCCTGTATTTCAGTTTGTGAAATTTCTTTCCAACATGGTCCTGCCCAACTTGTCTTGGGACATATTTATGAGCACAGCGATAGAGGTTTTGCCCTTACTGTTTTCATGTGAGAAAGTAAAATCAAGATGCAAATATGAGGTAACTACCAAGACGTAAGTTCCTGCTCAGAAGTAAATTAGATCATTCATGTAATACTTGATTCACAAAAAGACAAGCTCTTCAGTACTGCGGATACCAGACAATAACTAGATCCCAAAAATGGATCATGGGACGGGCAACAAACCAAAAGTTCCGACGCGTGCCGAAAAAGGCAAGAAAGGTGGGATAGGTGAAGGACATTTTGCATTGGAACAGTCTTCCAGGTTTACTACTGGGAGCGGATTGGGATCCGATAATTTCTAGGGGAGCTACAAGTTCAACCATCTCCAAAGAGAGCAGTCATAAATGCATTTTTCAGTTGGAGGAAACCAATTGTCCCCACAGCAAGCAGCCAAACAACACACAGCCCTTTGGCATCGAACAAAATACAAACTCCTGAGAGCTAAGTGCTCATTATTCATGTTTTTCCACGGTCGTTTTTGTTCACGAATTTACACATGTAAACCGGTCATCTCCAGGTCGCTACAACAAATCCACCCCTCCCCACCTAGAAGGGGACTTTCGAAGTCACCCCCCGATCTAACTGGGGGAGTGCCGCGCGTAGGTCTCTATCAGCATCACAAGTTTCATGTGTCGCCCGTCGTCTGGGGGGCCACGTTATGATGCCACAATCCACTAGTGCTGCTAGTGGGGAATCACTGAAAAGCGCATGGACTTAGTGGTCATCCACGAAGCTCTCACCTATGTGTCACAGAAAAAATGTTTATGTCTACAAGCATACCCTACAAAAAAGTCCAACACGACTTCTCGGAGGTTTCTAGATTCTCCGTGCCCGTACGTACAACGGAAAAGGAGAATGAAATACGTGAGCAAATGGCGACGAGTAAAAACGAAATCAAAGAAGCTCACCCCGGCCTGTCGCTACAACACACGAATTTCAAAATTTTAAGTGTTTTTTTGGTTTCCGAAACGGTTTTACAAAGCATCAAACAGTGCCAACAACTTTAAGTGGGAATGAAGAAAATGAATGCCATCTAGGAGACGCTTTTGCCAATATAGATGCCGGCCAGGTCGCGTCGTTTGTTGCTGCTTCGCCGTTTTGGGCTGCGCTAATTGGGGTTCGGGGTGGCCTCTGTGATAGGTGAAGGAACTGTTGGAGCACTATCTTTCAGAGGTGTTTTCTTTTCTAGACTGCCACCGAGGCGCGAAAAATTAAGGTGGTCAGCAGATATAGTTTCATGCCTACCATTTCGGTCAATGTAGTAAACTCGGCCGCGTCACTCGAGCAACTTACACGAAACTTCATAAGTCCGCTGCAGAGACATTTTAAAGCTTTCAACGCATATGAGGACGTAGGTGTAGGTGGATGGTTTGGGTGGAGTATTCGGTAGTCGGGACTTTCGTCGCGGTGAACGTATGTGCAATCAGCGCACCTGTGTGGCCAACTGTTGAGCTTATAAAAAGCACAACCTTGGTCGATCACGCGACCTACCGTAAGGTAATTCCCGAGCAACTGAAGAACTTTTCCAAAAGGTAATTCCGCGGCTGACGCGTTATTATCAGGTTTGTCAGCGGAAATCAAACCTAAGGGAACTATCAAAAGTACCTGCACACAATTAAAGCTTTTGGAAGCGGGGAGAAGGGCTATGGGATGTCGGTAAAAAAAGGCTCAATCATAAAGTTGGCCGCTGGGTGATACGTTATCGTAGGAGAACGGAGACAGCCTGCGATACGCAACGTTTCTCCAAACAGGTGTGACTTAAAATGTGCTCCGCGATCAGTAGTAACCGTTGCAGGACAACAATACAATGACGCCCAAAATTCCGTGGAACCAGCTAATACGGTTTCTGTCTCCACACAGGTAACAGGGACAGCCTCAGACCAACTGGTGATACCGTTGACCATGGTGGGTAAAAAGAGTAAGCCCCTAAAGAGACTGAGAGGAACAACGACGTCCATGTGGACTTGGGAAAACCGTGAGGTCATAGCGGGGAAGCGGCCATTGTATGTTTATCTATCTGCGATTGTTGGCATTGAACGCGTGAACTAACCCAGGTACGAATACTCTTTTGCTTGCGGTTTCGAATGTGCCTTTCTGCAGCCAGCTTCGTGGTGGTCGGGGTGCCACATTGGGCCAAATTATGTAATGCGTAAGAAATTTCGTGGCGCCAAGAATTGGGTACGATGGGGCCTGGGAGCGGCCAAGTTGCGTCACACAATATAGAGCCAAAGGAAGTGGCCAAGGGAAACTCCGAAGGCTTAAGTGATGCAACCCGGCTTGGATCTGTGAGATCCAGATCGGAGTGCTGGGCTGCAGCTACAGCTTCGATGTCTATGACCCGTGGCTGGCTAGAAGTGGCGTCTACCTGAAAAAGAGCATCAGCCACAACGTTGTCGGCGCCAGGAGAGTGACGAACATCACTAGAAAACTGTGCCACAAGGCCTGAGAGAAGCTACTCATAGGGTGACCATCTATTGGTTTGACTGTGAAATGCACACGTCAATGGTTTGGGATCGGTAAATATAACAGACCGTCTGATTTTGAGGATATGTCGGAAATGTCTCACAGTACGCTAAACAGCATGTGGTTCCCGACTAAACGTCGAATACTTAGTTTCAGCCCGTAGAATAAGCCGAAATAAACCAGCAAAGTGCCGGAAGCGGAAGCATCTTTATCCGCATTGAGGACAGTTTTAGCATCCTCGGATAATTCTATGGGACCATCTTGAGGGCCTCGAAGTAAACCGGATAACGGCTGTGTCAAGTGGGCACAGTTTTGGATAAAAGGCCTGTAGTAGCTTACCATCCCGTTGGAGCGACAAACGGTGGCTAGCGAAGTAGGTAGCGGAAAGATATGACCGGCTTGTACCTTTTCTTCCAAGAGCCGAATACTACTTTCATCGAGCATAAGGCCCGAAACCTCAACAGAATTTTGACCAAAGATAATTTTGCCCGCTATAACGGCTGTACCATATGCGACAAGAAAGCTCGAACAACTGGTGTAGGTGTTGCTTAGGTGCATCTTTAGATTTAATAATTACTGGCAGATCTTCTATGTAGGTGAATACAAATCTAAATCAGATCACTGCGTTCCCTCCGCGACTGAACGTCTTCGATACACTTCCCATGCTGCATCGCCGCTCCGTTCCCATCATTTGCTACACCTGTCAAATTGGTCATTAGAAATGTGACATTCACCGTCTACTTACTATACCATCACCTTCATCGACACCTTTGATCTTCCAGATGTTGCATTCGTGTTATATTACCGAAACTGACCTTGTATCCAGCCTCTAAATCACACCACTATCTGCACCGGCTGATACACTTTATTTCTATATTCGTTGATCCCCTGCCGCTTTCCGCGATATATCTGGGCAGTCTTTTTGATCTGTCATTTTTGCATGGTACACTCCACACAGCGTTCATCTATTGACGTACACTTACCTGTGAATAACTTTACCTTCCCTCCCGCAGAACTGAACACCTGCATAATGGATGTAACCACACGGCCAATATTGGTTATTCTTCCACTTCCACTTTGACATTTCATACCAACCCTACATAAAGTTAACAATTTGCCGCACGCTCACTTGTGTTCCTCCGGCCGTTCCCTGCCACCATCACTCTGGTAGTCTCCCTCCCAAGAAATACGCAATTGTTTGCCACATATATGATTCCTGCAGTATACAGCCACCACTTTATATACTACCATCTTTGCAGACTGAAATATTTCCATGTTAATACCTCTTGACATACCTGTAGTAAAGTGAATAATTCACCGAACGCTTCAACGAGATTTCTATCCATATGCCTCTCATATTCTGTAGCGCACCAAAACATATCCTTTGAATATGTTCGAATTTCCACTAATGGTAATTATTCCATATACCACTTATGCATGTACTCCAGACCAACTGACATCATTCGACCCTGACCTTCAAATTTGCCGGGCATTACTACAGATTTAGTTCACTGTAACACTCTCTTTGATACTCTGCACGCACATGTTGTACCCTTTTGTG